ACAGAATGAGGCCTTTTTGTTGTTCTTATCACTGATTAAATGCATTTGGGAAGAATGGCCTATCGGGAAAAATTATTAGCTCTTTGTATAAACTTGAAATGCAGAGTAGTAAAAATCTGTCAAATGCAGAATTTTATTGTGCATAAATCTACACCTGGCTGATATTCATTAAATGGGTCTCTCACTGTTAGCAAGTCTGTTCCGCCTTGGCACACACAACTTTTAATTCATTTAACTCAACATTTTCTTTTGCTCCAAGTGATTGCCTTTGGCTATGGGCTTTTGTGTAAAGGGCTTAGGGGCATACTTTTCTTCTGATTTAAGTCTAAGCTTATTTCAAGTTTCCTTTCCAACAGGTTAACTTTCCTCTCATCTCCCTTTAGGCTCTCTACGTCCCCAGGTCCCTTCCCTCCCACTGTGCTATCAAGTGTCCCTCAGGGATGAAGACGATGAAGTACTGTGGGGAGGAAGGTCTAGCAATCTGGCCTCGAATCAGAACAGAGCTAGTCAGAGCATCACACACCCTTCGGGAAAAGATAGTTTGAAACTAGATGATATCTAATGCCCCGGCCAGCTCTTACATTCTGTATATTTCTGTTTCTCGAGCAGATGTAATTGATAAAGGACCCTGCACAACCCGCCTCCCAGTACCCTAGGTACAACATTAAGGAAAAGGGATAACTAAATGAGATTCGAAGTTTAATAAGTGCTGGGCCTTACCTATAGATGTGTTATCTCATTCGGTCTTCTTTACAGCCCATACGGACTATATTCCAACTTTTCTGATGACGACACTGAGGCTAAGAGAGTCATATGCTCGTCCAAATGTTCGTAACTTACAATTGTCAAGGCTTGCAAACTGTGTCCTGGTCAGAAATCAAAGTTTGTGTTCTTAACCACTCAACAAACAGCCTTCATTCAGCACCCCCAAAGTTAAGGAAATGTGATTAATGTTGGCAAATCAAATGCTATTTTCCACAGCTTGAAGAGACTGTATTGTATTTTAGTCATTATCTGTTATTGACCCTCAATAAGCAACAATCAAGTTTAAAGTTTCCTCAAGGCCCTTCTCTTATATACACTTTTTAAAAGTATATACTAAAGAAGATTTAGCTATTTTCAAGGGAAATACATAGAAAAGTTCAAATAAAGACTTGGAAGCATACTATAGTAAAATCATTGGTCCTAATTTTTTGTGCCCTTAGGTTATGGTCTTTTTGCAGACTAAGCATATTGCTTTATGTTCCATCTGAAAAATAGGCTAGAACAATGCTGAGTGTGTCACATTTTCTTTTTTTTTTTTTTAACATCTTTATTGGAGTATAATTGCTTTACAATGGTGTCTTAGTTTCTGCTCTATAACAAAGTGAATCAGCTCTACACATACACACGTTCCCATAGCTCTTCCCTCTTGCGTCTTGTACATTTTCTGGATGGTTGAATAATGATAACATCAGTCCTTAATTTCTAATGACAATAGTGAATGTTTCCTGGGTGCATTCCCATACATTATTTCATTTTCCCCTCACTATAATCCTGTGGGGTAGTTGTTATTATTGTACTCATTTTCAGATGAAAAGACAAATTCACACTGTCATACACAAACTAATGATCTAGCCAGGACTGGAATCTTGGTTCTCTGATTCTAGATCATATTCTTGTCCCACTTCGCCACTCATAATCCCAAATTCAAAATACTCAAACACTTGTAACCTTGTCATGAGTTTGGTGTCCATTTGATATTTTTCCCATTCCCTTCTTTTAAGCTTCTGTTTGATGTTTCCTGGCCTATAAAAACTGTGAAGCTAAGATATGCTAAAATTGATCAGTTTCTTCCATCCTGAACCCCCAGTACTAAATTAGAGTATTTTCTGTCTGGAAGAAGGTCATAAAAAGCAGGAAGAGAGCTTTCTAGATTAGAACACAGTGAGCCTAGGGTTGAATCCTATTATAGCCCAACACCTTGGAACAGAATGTCTTCCACATTCAAGCTGTTCTGTCTTTCAGTGACTGGCTGAACCCCTTGGAAGTTGTCAAGAGAAAAAGTTACTCCTATTTCAGATAAAATAGGGGCAAAAGGACAGCTGGTGAACTGCAGACAACTTGACTGAAGACATAATTTACAATAGTTCTTTGCTGGGTGATCACAATATATTCTATTTTCTTTCATATATTAATCTGCATATATTAATATACATAATCTTTACTGAGTAGTTACTCTATGCTAATCACTGTGTCAAAGAATTTCCATTAATTAACTCAATTAAATCCTTATTTTACAAAACCATGAGGTAATAACAAACAAGGACCTACTGTATAGCACAGGGAACTATACTCAATATTTTGTAATAACCTATAAGGGAAAAGAATATGAAAAAAATAGATATATATGTATGTATAACTGAACCACTCTGCTATACACCTGAAACTAACACAACATTGTAAATCAACTATACTCCAATTTAAAAAATGAGGTAAATACTATTAACATTCCCGTTTTACAGATAAAGAAACTGAGACAAGGCAGTACAGCCCAAGAGCCCTTGGGCTAAGAGTAGAAACCCTAAGAAACTCACTTTACTCTCTCAATCCCAATTTCCACATCTGAAACGTGGAATTAATAGCATAATCTCAGTACTACACTGCGTATTATGGGATCTAGAAAATAATTCTATCGTATCATCAGTATCAAGAAGCTTAGAGTCTAATTTTAGAGAGAAGCTTTTCACTTGTTTAGTAAAAAATAAGCAGAGAAAGATAAATTTCACTATAAAATGAAAAGTGAAACAAAATGTGATCCAACGTCAAATGCACAGAAAAGATGAGGCACTGAATACTATTTTACTCTCTTGGGGATATAAAGGCTCTGAGTCCTGCGAGAAAGAAACCTGTTGACCTTTGCGCAGTTTAGAGTTTGCCCAAGTATTTGATGGATGAGGTCAAGGTGAGGAGTGCAGAACATACCTTCTCAACTCCACCTAGGATACTAGCCCCCACGTAGGAGATAGGAGGAAACCTCCAATTAATTAAGCATCTATTCGTTTCATAGATCACTTCCGAAGATCACCCGCTGAACTAAAGAAACTAAAAGGGAACTGTAATAAACGAAAGGAAAATGTGCTCCTGATAAAGCTTATGACTGTTAATTAGAAACTGGATCTGCACTAGAATATTGAGCTAGAGGGCAAAAGCTACTCAGGACAATCAGCCCCTGCCTTCCGCAGTTCGGAAATAGGTATCCAGGGCCAGGGTTTCAACCTTGGTGCTGACGTTAATTCACTTCGGGAATGTGAAGGTATCACAAAGCATCTGTTTGCTTATTTGTGAGGTGGATTCTGTGAGTTTGGTTCCAAACCCTCATGGATTGTTCTGAGGATAAAATGTGATCATGTGTATGGATTTTGAAAGCCCTGATCATACTAATTCAAGGGGTAAAAAACAGCCTGGAAATTTCAGGGTATAGACTAGAAATATGTGTAACTAACAATTATGCTTTCAATTATTCTCATATTATTTAATTAGTGATCATGTAGTTTCTCCCCTTACTTTGGCTATGTCAGCACATGCAAAATTAAATGGAGCCACAGAGACACTTGCTACTCAGAGATGGTAATTCAGCTCCTGACTGATGGGGAATGCCTGCCTGGACCAATCTATTGAGAATTTGGAAGCCACATCTAGATATGTCATTGGTTAGTGCTGTCTGACATGGTCAGAGAACTGAGGAAGTGAAGGCTTGCATGCCAGCTATATGACCCCTTTGTCCTTTTCCACTAATTAAATCCTATTATTCAGATAATTACATATTTCAGAATTAAGACCACTTAGGAGGACAGTCACTGTCTTCTGCTGAATTAAATCTCTCTTCACTTTCTAACCTAAATTTGTAATACTCTCCTCTGTGTCTTGTTTTATAAACCTCACAGATTCCTTATCCTCCATCTGTGCACTGTAATCTCCCAACTATCAGTGCGTGAGTTCTTTTATTAATATTATCAACTAACATTTACTGAGTGTCTATTGTATGCTAGTCATTCTCCTTAGTGGACCATCTCATTTAATTCTCACAGATATAGTAAAAAAAAAAAAAATATGATGATCCCCAGTACACATATGAGAAAATTTAGGATTACACATGTTAAACAAATTGTCTCAGGAAACACCAGTAGTAAGTATCAGTCTAGAATCCAATCCTATCTAACTGCCATTTGCTCAATGAAGCCCTTTTTGGCATTCCCAGTTCCAAGGATCCTTTCCTTCTGGTGACCACTACAGAAATCCATCTGCTCTATTCCCATGACATTTTTCCCACTTAACACTGAAATATGCAAATTGGTTCAAAAATATTTACAAAGTAGTGAGCCATGCTAGACACTAGGTATTCAGAGATGAATAGGACACAGTGTCTGCCATTCAGCAACTTATAGTCCGATAGCGGGGACAGACATGCCAAAGATATAACATGGTATAATATATACAATATTTCTCTCTCTCTCCCTCTCTCTCTCTCTCTCTCTCTCTCTCTCTCTCTCTCTCTCTCTCACACACACACACACACACACACACACACACACACACACACACACACTGCAGCTAAAATCCTTGGGACAGGCAGTTGGTAGGTTGTAACATCTGAGCTGAGTATTGACAGGAAGGAAATCTAGAGTACTCCTAGCTTGCTGGCTTAAGCAGTTGGGTCAACGAGGGTATCATTCACAGAGCTATGGTAGCCAGTAGGATAGAACAGGGCTGAGTTATACATTTATTTTGGACATGTTGAGTGTTTAGTATTTGCAGGACATTTAAATGTGACCATTCATTTGATATTTGAACATGCTCAGGTGAGAAATCTGAGGAAGTTCTAGAGGTTTAGGAGTTAGCATTTAAAAGACAGAAGTGGGTACCTTCATTCAATCACCAGCAAGAGATGAAAAGCTGTACTACTGACTTATGTTTAACACATTTCTCCTTTTGATGAAGATACAAGTTTCATGACCTACCTTCTTCCACCAGGGTTTCTCTGGTCCTCTACTTGCCTTGGGCATTAGCACGACAAGGTGAAGTCAGTGAAGGATGGCAGACCAGAAGCCTGTAAAACATTAATACTTAAGGGTCAGGCAGAGGGAAGTGAGCCTACAAGGGACAGAGAAGGTGCAGCCAGGGTGGAATGAAGAAAATCAGAAGAGATTTGTCACGACACAAAGACAGAGCACAACTCAGGAAGGAAGCATTTGATGAGCTACTGTGAAATGACCAAGACTGGTAAGAATATATGCATACATATGAATTCAGATATATAGGTACATGTGATTCCTCAGGGAGAAAGAATATGATACCTCATGTAAGCATGAAATAAAGTAAGCAATGGTAATAGAAAGTAACAAAAATTATTAATAATACAAAAATAAATAAAAATAATAAAAACATTAAGAATATTGTAGAGGAGTGGGAAGGGTAAGCTGGGATGAAGACAGTGGCATGGACATGTATACACTACCAAAGGTAAAATAGATAGCTAGTGGGAAGTAGCCGCATAGCACAGGGAGATCAGGTCGGTGCTTTGTGACCACCTAGAGGGGTGGGATAGGGAGGGTGGGAGGGAGGGAGACGCAAGAAGGAAGAGATATGGGAACATATGTATATGTATAACTGATTCACTTTGTTATAAAGCAAAAACTAACACACCATTGTAAAGCAATTAAACTCCAATAAAGATTAAAAAAAAGAAATAAATACAAAATTATGGAGCACCCGATAAAAAAAGAAAAAGAATATTGTATTGTGGAGTTCAAAGTATATGTGGAGTTAAAATAGTTGTATTTGTACCCTTTTTCTGGTAGTATGGTATGTTGCATTTATGGATGTTCAAATTTTCAACAAACTTTGCTGAAGAGTTTTTGTTTTTGCTTTTCTGGTGTATGTGTGTGTGTGTGAGAGAGAGAGAAGGGGGTGGAGGAGGAGGAGAGGAGGAGGAGAGGAGAAGGGAGGGGAGATAATTTATGGGCAGATTCTAAAATGTTATAGAAATTCAAAGGAAAAGAAAGCCAAGACTATTTAGAAAGAAGAACGAAGTTGGAAGACTTACCAAGTCTCATCATTTATTACAAAATAACAACAATAATGGCAGTGCTATATTAGTACAAGATAAAAAGACTGATGAAATAAAATGGGATAGATAAAATGGAATAAAAAGAGTCCAGAAACAGACTCTTATACATATGGTCACATGATTGATGGCAAAGGTGACAGATACTACAGTGAAGACGGAAAACCACTGTCTCTTCAAAAAATTATGCTAGATAAATTGGATATCCATATGGAAAATATATAGAGATTTGAAGTCCTATTTCATATTGTATGCAAAAACTCTAGGTAGAATGTTAATCTAAACAGAAAAATGAAAACAATAAGCTTTTAGAAGACACCACAGGAGATTATCTTTATGACCTTGACGGGAAATGAGATTTTTTTATACTGGACTATTTCAAATTTAGGAACTTCTTTCATCAGAAAAAAACAAAACAGCACAGAAAGAGTGAAAAGACAAGCAATAGAGTGGGAAAATATGTTTGCAATACATTTATCTACCAAGAACTCACAACCAGAATATATTAAAACTCCTAAAACTCCTATTTTTCTAGAAAAATTAGAAAAATGGCCAAGCAGCCACTTTACCAAAGAGGATCTCCAAATGACCCCAAAACATATGCAAAACAGCTCAATTTAATTGTTAAGGAAATGCAAATTAAAATCATAATGAGGGGCTTCCCTGGTGGCACAGTGGTTGAGACTTCGCCTGCCGATGCAGGGGACACGGGTTCGTGCCCCGGTCCGGCAGGATCCCACATGCCGCGGAGCGGCTGGCCCCGTGAGCCATGGCCGCTGAGCCTGCGCGTCCGGAGCCTGTGCTCCGCGATGGAAGAGGCCACAACAGTGAGAGGCCCGCGTACCGCAAAAAAAAAAAAAAAAAAATCATAATGAGATACCATTACACATACACTAGGATGAAAACAACAAAAATAGCCAGTTTGGGCAGGGACGTGGAGGAGCTGGAACACTAATACACTGCTTATCCAATACAACCACTTTGGAGAACTCTTTGGTAATACGTATACTTAAACTGAAAAGTGCATACCCTATTACCCTCCTAAATACATGCTCAACACAATGCTTACTATGTGTACCAAAGGGTACATGAGATTACTCACAGCAGCATTAACCCTAGTAGCCAAAACTGAAAACAGCCCAAGAGCCACATGTCTATCAACAGAAGAATGGATAAATAAGTCATGGTATATTCATACAATGGGTAGTATCCAGAAATGAAGATGAAGTAACTATATCCAACAGAGGTCAATGTCAAATACAATGTGAACCAAAAGAAGCCAGGTATGAAAGAATATATTCTGTGTGTTTCCACTTTTTATAAGCTGTAAATCAGCTAAAACTAAAATCTTATGAAAACTAAAATTGTGAAATATAGGGAATAATGACTGAGACTGGGCTTGAAGAAGGCTTCTGTGTTGCTGGTAATATCTGACATCCTGATCTGGGTACTGGTTTCATGAATGTATTCATCTTGTACAAATTCATGATGCTGTCTACTTATGACCTGTGCATTTTTCTGAATAAGTACTTCCAATTAATTTTAAAAAAAGAAAAATACTGAGTTTGATGAACTTCCCTATGTAAAGGATAGTGAAAACCTTGACAACCAGCAATACTTACAGTCTGATTAGAGGAGATATGAAGTGGAGGTGTTAGGAGGTGACAAGGACCTATGATCTACAGCTGAGTCATTTTGGCTTTCAGCCAAGGAACCCAGAAGAGTGTTTTCATTAATTTATTCATGCATGAATTCAACAAGTACTTTCAAGCATGGACCCTGTGCCAACCACTCTGCCAGACTCTTGGGAATGTAACAGTGAACAAAAAAGAAGTAAATGCTGCTTTCAAGGAGCCATGTGCATTGTACATTGTACTACATTAAATTATTGTGGGTGAATGAATGAATGAATAAGTATAAAGGAATATTTGAGGCTTGGAAGTCTGGTTAATTGATAGACTTCTTTTTACTTACAATCTATAGGCATAACTATAGGCTCCCTGAAACAAGATGTAAATGTCTAATTTTCCGCACTGGAATTGAATTTTTTTTGATTCCTGATTCCCTTATAGGACTATAAGGTGCATGTCTACCTAATTATTTAAATTCTGTCTTGTTTTGTTCTTTATGGCATCTTCAATATATGAAATATTGAAACTTTTCTCTGGAAGAGAAAAATACAATTCAAACTAAATATCAAACAGAAGATCTCTGTATTCATCTCTCTTGCATAGAAATCTCAATTTTGAGATGAAAGAGTATACAGTTGTGCTGCATGAATACAAATACAGGTAATTACAATAAAGTTCTAGCCATCATTTTTTTACCATTATATTTTTACCTATTTCATTTGGAGGAAAACATATATTCCTATGTTTTCCAAGCTCATGACTATTTAAGAACTTCTTTGAAAGGTTTTTCCAGGGCATTCAAGAGAGTAATGTGTTAGCATTCGTGTTTATGTATTAATACAGGAACAGTAATCTGCAAAGGTCTTGCTCAAAGGTTAAAGAAATACACAATGAGGATTCAGTAATTGTCATCATCATTATGCTTTGGGATTTACAAATTGTCCTACCATATTTATAGCACTTTTACCACCATTCTTTCATTTATTTCTTGCATGACACTGTGAGGAAGGTATTTCTATCTGTATTTTACACACACACATGAACACACAGACAAAAACCTACCATTGAGAGATGTGATATGCCTGATCCAAGGTCACATAAATAAGTGGCACAGACAGCACTAGAATTTTCAGACTTTAAATTCAGGGTATTTTCTACTTACCCCATAGAGTAGAAATCTGTCACAAGTTGGGTTTTCTGGGGAGCAGACTCTGAAACCGTTAAAGGTGCAGCAATATTTATTGGGGTTGGGTATCCTTGGAATTAACACCTGTGGAAGGGAAGGGAAGGAATCAGGATTCAGCAGAGACCTGTGGAACAGACCCAACGATATCCTTAGCAAACCCACAGACAACTCTAGAACTAAAGTGGCCCAGGTTATCCCAAAATGAGTAGGCATTTATATCCCAACCTTGATCAGTCATTGGATGTGGGCCACCTAGGAAGGATGTGCAGTTGGGTGAGGTTGACTCTCTACAGCTGATGCAGCCGTGCAAGGTGCTACCAACTGAAGTCTGTTTGCTGACAGCATTCCTAGGAGCCAGGGCCACTAGTCCTCCTTGAAGGGCAAACTGAATAGCACATTTCCCTTTCATCACCAATCTTACCATGATCACCTAAGTCAATCCACATTTTTCTGCTCTTCCTAACTTTCTAACAGGGATGCCCTGTTGCTTCCTAAATATTATGGAACTTGTCTGTAGAAACATGTCTCTGGAGCACAAAGTAATGTGGGTGGAAATCTAAGGAAATATGGACCTAACTTTATCATCTTGGCTCTTCCTTTTAAGCCAAAATTTACTAGAGGTAGAGAGAAAATCTCTCATTTAAGAACACAGCACAATATCGTACATCTATGCTTCAATTAAAAAAAAAAAACAACACAGATAATGACTCTTTGTCAATCATCTCATGGTACAAGTTGACTGGATTGTTTAGATTTTGTTAGAGAGTGAGTTTTTATCCCAAAGAGTAGGGACAGTCAACTACGAAGGCATTCTAGAGGACTTAAATCCATGATCACAAGACAAAGTTATCTTCTCCCCTAAATTACCTGTGGCAGATTTAGTAGTTAGTTTCAATTAATTTCATCTTCCCAAAACCTGTAGTTTCAACCTGTAGAACCTCTTTATCCAGCATGCTTCATCTATTTTATACAGGAGAGGAATAACTTTCTTTTATTTATCTTAAAGCTCGTCTCCAACTTCTGCTAGAAAACAGTCAGCCCTCATTATTATAAGCTTCACCATTAAAACAACTAATAGTTATTAACTTTTCTATATTATGACTTCACCTGTGAGACCTCATCCAGTTCTCAAAACAATATTATCATGTAATAAATATGGTAGAAAGACAGCATATATTAGAATGATTTGGGACCTTTGGAAGTATGATATGGGCAGCTGGAAGACCTTGATTCACCCCAGGACAGACATTAGTCATATCTACCACTCCCCACTCCCGACCATCTTGCTTTTCCTATCCTTGGGTAAAAACTGCTTAGTGCATGTTATTTCACATCGTGTTATGGATAGGTTGATAATATAGAAAACATGAACTCCAATGGGACCACTATGTTTAATAAGAATTTTGAGATTATGCCACCAGAGAGAAACTGGAATACAAGAAACGTCAAATTACCTGCTATTAGGGAAAGGGAACGATCTCAAGTGATGAAATAGAAAAGGAAACCATTATATACTAATGGAATAAAACCATTCTACCAGAAGTAATCATAAAGGAGGTTTTCCCCAAATAGTCCTGTGACTACTGGTTAGTGTTCTTGAAGACTGGGTGATTTCTCTTTTACCTGATTCCTTCCCTGCTAATTGGGACACTAACTTTTCAAAAAGTACCTATTAAATCTAAATACTTGCCTTGTCTCTTTTGTCCCAACATCTGGGTAACCAAATTTTCTCAGAGGTATTGATACTGCTGATAATAAAACTGTACCTGAACCCTTGTTATTCCTTGCTTTCTGGTTCTGCTGGGCAGAAAACCATTGCTACCTCGACCAGTTCACAAGAAACCCTGCGTGGAAGTCAGAAATGACTTTCATAATTAATAAAGGAAAGAAAAAAAATGTGCGGGGAGGCACCAACATTAACAGAGCACACTGTATGTGTCAGGCTCTCGGCCAGTTCTTTGCATACATTGTCAGTTATCATAAAAACTCTGTGAGGATATGGGGAGGCGGAAGGGTGAGCTGTGACAAAGCGAGAGAGAGGCATGGACATATACACACTAACAAACGTAAGGTAGATAGCTAGTGGGAAGCAGCCGCATAGCACAGGGATATCAGCTCGGTGCTTTGTGACTGCCTGGAGGGGTGGGATAAGGAGGGTGGGAGGGAGGGAGATGCAAGAAGGAAGAGATATGGGAACATATGTATATTTATGACTGATTCACTTTGTTACAAAGCAGAAACGAACACACCATTGTAAAGCAACTATACCCCAATAAAGATGTTAAAAAAAAAAAAAAAAACTCTGTGAAGAATGCATTGTCATTCTTATTTTCAGCTGAGGGAGCTGAGGCCTAAAGAAGCTGAATGACACAATCAATGAGGGAGTGGGTAGGGAGTAAGCACTTCCCTACTCCTCTCTCAAAACAAAAACAATGATTTTGCCCCACATTCTTCTGATCCCAAAACCATGATCTGCTGTTCCACATATGTAAGGGAGCAAGGATTCTGAAGCCAAATTTCATCACGTCTCTGGTACTCATTTTTTCCCAACGTTTCTCATTCACTCAAATTTCACATCATCAAAGGGCCCCTCTGTTCTTAAAGTACAAAGCCCCTAAATATCCACCTTTCTGCAACTATCACTTCAGTGGTTTGAAATTTTCATTGCCTCAAAGGTCTCTTCCAGCTAAAGAGAGAAGAACAATAACCCCAGCCTATAAACTTGTATTAATAATTCAGTGTCAAAATAGAAAAAAATACATATATATACATATAAATATATTTGTGTACACACACATATAAATAATTCTTATTTTGGAAAATTCTAAGTCACTTTCTCTTAAAGTATTGCTTCCGCTCCATTCTTCCCTCTCCCTCTGGGCCTCGAATTATGCTTATGTTTAATCCTTCCACTGTGTCCTCACGTCCCTTCTGGGTTCTTTCTGCGTTTTCATCCTGGTGTCTGTGATTCAGACTACATATTTTCTTCTGACCTTTCTTCCACTTCTCTACTCTGCAAATATACTGTTACCTGTCGTGTTATTAATTTGAGGTATTGTGGTTTTTAGCTATTCTTTTTTGTAGATCGATACTCTTTTTTGAAGACATCAGTTTTCTATGAAAATTCTCCACCTTGTCATGCGCTATCTTGAACATAGTAGTTATGGTTACTTTAAATACATAACTCTCTTAATATCTGAGCTTCTTGTGGTCCTGTTATGTTTTCATCATCTTTGGTCAATTCTGTGCTGAGTGACCCAAGTTGTTTGTCTTTTTTTACAACCAGTGATTTTTTTTTGATTTGATTTTTTATTTTCATTATATGAACAATCCCAGAGGATCTTTGAGGCTCTGGATGATGTTATCTGCCCCCAGATATCTGCTTTTGCTTCTAGCAGGCAGTTTGAATTGGCACAAGTTATTTTAATACAGTTACGGATTTAGAGGGAGACTCCACTATTTTATGAGGATTAATCTACTTCCAGTTCACCCTTACTATTAGAATGAGTTCACAATTAAGGCACTTTCCTGGCAGCCTAGTGGTTAAGACTCCACACTCCCAATGCAGCGGGCTCAGGTTCGATCCCTGGTTGGGGAACTAAGATCCCGCATACCCACAGCACGGCCAAAAAAAAAAACCCCACAATTAAAAACCTGGAGTAGGGCTTCCCTGGTGGCGCAGTGGTTGAGAATCTGCCTGCTAATGCAGGGGACACGGGTTCGAGCCCTGGTCTGGGAAGATCCCACATGCCACGGAGCAACTAGGCCCGTGAGCCCCAACCACTGAGCCTCCGCGTCTGGAGCCTGTGCTCTGCAACAAGAGAGACCGCGATAGTGAGAGGCCCGCGCACCGCGATGAAGAGTGGCCCCCGCTTGCCACAACTGGAGAAAGCCCTCGCACAGAAACGAAGACCCAACACAGCCAAAAGTAAAATAAAATAAAAAAATAAATAAAAGAGATGCATTTCCATTTAAAAAAAAAAACCTGGAGTATTTACCAAGGACCATCTGTTTGGTGGGCTTTGAACTACATTTTGTGGCCCCCAGCCCCATGAAACTCTCAAAGGTCCTACTCAGCTTTTCATCCTTTCAGGTACAGTTTAATTGGTCAATGCCTCAAAAAAAAAAAAAGGTGCTGAATTTCCCTTTTACCTCTTTGAATTCTTTGAGTTCCTTTTCTCTCTAGTGGCTTATCCCTTGATTTCTCCCTGCCTTAGTACTTCTCCAACATCTTTAAACAGATTTTTTGACGGTAGAGCTTTTCCGGTATTCTTAGTGGAACTCTTCATTTCAAACAAGAATATTGCTGGAAGTAGAAATCTCCACATATAAATCTGAATCTGTTTATTCTGGAGGAATAAATCAGTATAACACTGTAGGTAAAAGCACATTCCAGACTCGGACTGCCCCGGGTTTGCATCTGAGTACCACCATTTATTAACTGTGTCATGGAGCGAGTAACTTGAATTTTGTAAGCCTTTTTCTCTAACTATAAAGTGGGGAAATTAAGGTACCTTTCTGAAAGACTTGTTACGGGGATGAAATGGGACAGTGCGTATATAATGTTCAAATCAGTGTATGGTATATAGTTAATGCTCAATAAACATTAGCTGTTATCACAGCTTGAATACTAATACTACTACTTACTGTTACCATTTCTTCCATTTCTTACTACCATGAAAAACATATAAAAATTTAAGTATCTGGCCATGCAATACTTCATTTGCACTCTACAAGAACTCTGTAAGATAGATATTACTGTTTTGACTTACCACCACTTTCAATTTCAGGGAAACTGAGTCCTAGATCATCTAAGTAACTTAGTCAAGAGGTCACACAACTAATAAGTGGGAAATCTAACATTTACACACTAGTTCCTCTGAACCTAAACTGTGAATTGTTTTATAAAATTATTCATAGAGCAGTAACAATATTTAGAGTCTGTCTGGCTAAATGTCCTAGTTTATGTGACACATGTCATGTTTAGATTCATGACTAAAAGTTTATCTAATCTTATACCATAATTTTATAATGGGGGAGACCAAGGCTCAGAGGGGGAAAGGTGGTAGTCCAGTTCACATGGCTGG